CGTTGAAATTTCCCTTCTCAAGGTATTTTTTAAAGGAGGGATTTCTATTACAGATCATGGTTTTGGTAATGAAAATTAATGAGCTCCCTCAGAGTCTCTTGGATATGTGCAAAATGCACTTTTTTTACCCTCTTGTATTTTGATAGATGGAAAGAGACTTTTTCCATGCTTCCTGACCAAACTTATTACCTGAGTGTAAAATTTACCCTAATTTTTTTTTTGCCAGGTAGTTTCAAGACAATGTGACATGGCAACAGATGAGCACCTGAGTTATCCCAAATAAATAAGAGTTGAGAAGGAAACCTTATGGCAAACAGATTTTACCATAACTTGATTAGTTTCCCTGCAGGTTTGAAATGAGGGTGTTTTGTGTGGGATTTTTTTGTTTGGTTTGTTTTGTGTGGAGTTCTTTGTTTGGTTCAGTTTTTTTGTTTATTTTTTTTAAATTTTTTTTAGTTGAAGTGTTGTATTTAAAAGGCTTTTAGAAAAGGGTGATGTCAGGAAAAGAATAGACTTTGCAAATAGAAAACTCAGAAGTAATACAGCCTAGAAGGGTGAAATATAAACTTCCTTACTGAGCTGAATACAATTTATACATTTTGTATAGCTGGATCTAAACTTTTTGCTGGAGTTGTTTTAAAATGTGTCTTCATAAACACTTCCCATGGAGATATTCTTTGCAAAAATAAACGTTAATAACCAGCTGGCAGAGAATTTATAGAACCTCAGTCTCCACTGCCTTTTGGCCCCAGGGGATTAGGGTACAGTAAACCCAAATTTATACAAAGAATTAAATATACAGTAGGGCAGGACAAAGAGAATGGGGAATGGCTCTCACTGTTTCCCTAACATTAATATAGTGACATATTCCTGTTGCTTTCACTGAAGCAGATGCACGGATTGCAGATACCAGTGTTTAATATCTCCGAGTGATCTAAATAGATTTATTTCTCGTGAAAAATGCCAGGATCTGTGCACATGGGGTAACTTCAGTGTAGGTAAGAATGGTGTTCCCTGTCAGGAATGACTCAATCCTGCCTCTGCCTCCCTGGGATGGTCTAATTTCCACACCCATTCATTTAGAGGGCTCTGCTGAGACTGTCCAAGGGATGCTCATTGCCACCAGCCACGGTGATCCCTGGGGAATCACGCTGGGACTGAGAAACCACGGAACTGCTGGGGTTACACTGCAGCCAGGGATTGAAGTGATGGCTTTGGTGACCACTTGGCCACCTCTCAGCCCATTTCTGTCCAATGTTGGTGCTGGTTTTACATCAAAAAGAGCGGAACTTGGAAATTCATTTGGTTAATTCCGTGGAGCAGCACGTGCTGCCTGGAGTTAGGCAAAACTCAACCAGGGAGTTCTGCTCTGCTAACAGGAAGGAACTAGGAGAGCTACAATAGTGATCTGAAAATCTGAACAAATTTTCCAAAGTCTTTACTACTCTGATGAAAAAGCTGAATTTTCATTCAGAAGAGAAATTAAAATTGTCGAAATTCTGTGCTGCTGTTTTTGAAATCTCCAGGAGATTATTTTAAATAAAGGCTTTTCCTCGTGATAAATGCCTGTGTCCTTTAAAAAGATTTCCTAATCTGGACAAGTTTTTGTTTTTTGTTTCTTTTTAATAGCTGCAACTTCTTTATCGTGATCAAGCATTTTCATTTAGTGGTCCAGACTGAAAATGTGAATACTCCTTGAATCAATTTAATGATTTGTTGTGTCTTGACTATATAACAGCAAGGAGAAGAGAAGTAATGTCTGTGACTGAGTTTCTTGTAGGTAAAATCTGAAAATCTGGTGAACTGCAGCTTTTTTTCCTGCTTGTGGCCCATCATTCACAATTTGGACATCGAGGCTGTGTATTCTGTCTGTGTGAAATTAGGTCATTGTAGGCAAACAAATTCTTCAATTTTGGAAAATTTCTGCTTGTTTTTTGCTTGCTTTGGTCCCTGTTTGTATTTTTTATGGCAAAACTAAGCTTTTGATGCTGATTTTAGCCATTTATTGCTGTAGTGAGAGAATCTGAATCCTGTTTTCTCAGTGATACTGTCATGAATAATTAGACAAAGCAAAGCTGTAGGATTTTCGTTAGAGGTGATGGTATACACAAATAAAGATGCACAGAGTTGTTTTTGTTCACACTGAAAGGTGGATATGAGAGATTGGAAGGTATTTATTTTTAAACAATTGGCTTCTGTCAATCAAAAGAAAGTAATGCAAAAGTGTATTGTAGGATCTAACAGGACTGCCTGCCTATAACTGGGCTACATAAATGAATTTCTCTCTTTTCAGAGATCCTGATGCTGTATTTCCAAATGTTTTGAGGATGAGTCTTGATATTTTTCTGTATTAAAGGCATCTTTTGTTTCCAGGTCCCCAACATTGTGGGGCTGCATTGACTTAATTTCATCCTGGCTCTTCCAGACCAGTGACAGCTATTTTTAGTTTTTAGTTATTTTCTAGAATACCCTGTTGGAAAACTCCCTCAACCCACCAAATAATATCACTCTTCAAAATTACAAAAAAGAACCCCCAAAACAACAAAAAACCCCTCCAACCAGCAGGAGTTTTTATTTAAAACCTTGAATCTTCTTGGCACAAATATTCTTCTAGTACTTGAGCCATGATCTTGCTCTCTTATCAATCCTATTTCTTGCAGTTTCTCACCTGCAGGAAGTGTGTTATCTATTGGGAATATTTTCTTTTCCTAATCAGTGTTTGGTGTAGGAGGTTTAATTACTGTTTTTCATCCAGCAGTACTCTTGTCTGTGTTTAAATTGCTACCATTCCTCCCAAAGGTATAACAGCAATCCATATTGAATTACATAATATAAAAGTAAGAAATTTAATTTCACGAGGAGTCAAGGAACCTTCCTTCCTTAAAACGTTGCTTTAATTTAGACAGAAAATATTTTCAGAATGAAAAGCTAGGCTTGTGCCTAAGACTGTCTCTCATTTTTCCAAAAGATTTTTGCATTGAGCAATGAATAATATTTTGCTGAGGCTTTCTTTGGCTTTTAGTCAAGTGCTATAAATGAATTCATTAATGGGAATTATTTTTGGGTAGCAGTAGTGGGTGTGTGTTTAAAGTCCAGTGGTGTTGCATGGTACTGTGAGAGTCAAGTGTATTCCATCTTTCCTTCAGCAGTTCTGGGAGTTTTAGCTTAAAAGAAAGAGACAAACACAACAAAAACCCCCAAGGCTGGTGGTGATCAACCCTCACCCATGAGCCAGTCTGCTGCTGTTTGTGAGATTGAATTCTGGGCTGCCTGAATGAGAATCTTTTCTTTTGGGATAATAAAAATAAATTATTTTTTTAGAAACAGAAGGAAAAAAAAAAGTCTTTTAAAAATTCATTTGAGACACAGAAGAATTCTGTGTCTAAACAGCAAAAAAAAAATGCTGAGCACGAGGGCTGTGATCTCCAGTGAACATTGCACGGGTGAAAATATAAAGATATTTCTTTATTACGTTAGGAAAATGTAGGTTTTGTATATAAGGTTCACCTCTGGATCTACTTTTTGGCCGAAATAGAGGGTGTAGGTTGAGAACTGCAAAAAGGAAGGCTAGGAATTATGACAGTATATTATTCAAGTTTTTTGGGTTCTTGACAGTAAACTATTCTGTGTGTATTCATTATGAAGAGGCCAACTTTTAAATGTGTTGAAATACATAAAACAACGTTTGTGCAAATGTTAGACAAGCTGCCCCATTCAGGTAAAGAATAACTATCATAAACATATTTCCAGTATTTAACACTGGAAAAGTATGCATGTCTGGTTAAAGTTTAGTGTGGAGACCTGGGCTGTCGTTTAACCCTTCTCAGCATTTATTGTAGGAATGTATCTTGTCTGTGCTGGACTTTGGAGCTTGTTAATTGCCTTGGAAATGTGTCAGCTAATACCTGTTGTCACCTTGCAAATATCTGCAAGTCTGTGATGCAGTGTAGTGCATGCTGGTGAATATTTAATATTATTAAATGTTAAGCATGGGCTTCACTGTGAGCAGAGGCTCGAGGGAGCCTCTGATTAATTTGTCAGTGTTCTGGGCCAGAAACACATGTTTTTTAAAGAAATGGTGAAAATGCCACTTGTGGGCTGTGTGTTACCTCCCTGCTTCATTTTCAGTACATGTGGATAAAAATTGTGGAGGGAATGGGGAAACAGGACTCATTATTTCTTACTTTTTATGGTGAAAACCATTTGGGTTGAATCTCAAATTATGGCATCTTTCACCCATGTGGGGATTAAACCACCCTAAAATGCACAGCAACGTAATAAATAGGGAAGTTACCCTAATAGCTTCAGCCTCAGTTACTACATTATTATTTAATATATTTAGGCTGAAGTTTGTGCTGTTCTGGATATCGTTGTCTTGAAAATTATAGGTAATTAAAGATTTCATTTTGCAAGCAGGCATACCAAATGAAAATACACTGCAGGATGTTGATACCTGGAATAAAAATGTCTGCAATACTTCTGAATGCTTTAATAGGGTTGGTTTTGTTTTTTTTATGTTTGTTTTGTTTTGTTTTGTTTTGTTTTGTTTTTTATGGAAGGTTTTAGCTTAGGGAAGGATCTGTTCATCTTGACGTTTGAGTTTTGGGAAGGTAATTGTCCAGGTGTAGAAGGGTTTGTTGTTTAAGTGTAGGTAAAGCATATTTTATGAATTTACATGGTATAGATGAATCTGGAGAGAGCCTGCTTCACTCAGCTTCAGCAAAGGAGGCAGAGGAAATCCAGATAGATTGTCCAGTTTGGGGTTGCTGGCTTTTCCCTCCACTGCCTACAAAGAGTTACTGAGGGAAGATTATCTTTTAGTTTAAATTCACTCTTTTTGAACTTGCCTTTATGTCACAACCTTCTCCCAGTTCTGAGACCATCTTGGAACCACAGAGATTTTCATAAGAAAGGCACAGGAAAGAAATATTTTGGGGGCTGTCTTGGAACACTTCAGATGTTAGATTTCTGTTGACCTCGTTTGTTTTTCCTCCTGGCAGCTCCAGAACGAAGGGATTCCTCCCTCCTGGCCAGCCCAGACCTCGTGGAGCCAGCCCCAAGGAGAAAACGAAGGCAAAGGACAGCAAAACCTGCAGGGACAGGAGCTAAGGTGGCTGCTTACGAGGCTCAGCAGCCAGCCCAGCAGAAGTAAGCAGGTTTTAAATGTATTTAAATGTTTTTATGCTCACACACCCCAGCTGGGCACGGACAGCCTCTGGTTGAGGAGGTTCCACCCTGAGATTCTGCCTTTGGGATTCCAGTGGAAAGAAATTGCCTCTCAGTTGCATCTTCTATAGATTTTTGTGAAAATGAGGTCTCCAGGCAGAAAAAATAGTTCACTCTTCAAACACAAAGGGAGTGAGGATTTGTAACACTTAAAAGTTGTTTTTCTTATCTCCATTTCAACTGCTGGGAAATATTTCCATGTCTTCTGGGAGGTGCTTGCAGCTGTGCATAGAGATGCCTCAGAGCTGCCATGAGATTGATAATGTTTTCTTCAAAAACTTTTTTTTTCTCTAAATATATGGCAAATTACATTTAAAATGCATATTTTCCATTTTTATCTGTAATATTCCATGGATTGTAGACTCTTTAAACAGCCATGGACACAAGTAGACTACAAAGACATTTCCCATGATTAGCAAGGATTTCTGTTTAAATTAGCAGGAGAATTATCTCATTTTGACGTAAAAGTTGTGGTTTGACGCCAGCTAGGAATGTTTGAATTTACAATCCTGTTTTATTAGTTAAAAATATGCTTTTTTTTTAGGATGGTGTAGAAATATGTCAGATCTTGCTTTTTTGTTCTTTTACATCCAAGTCCATTGCAATGGAAAATGCCCTTTCCCCACTGTATTTGGTCAGTTTGATTTTGACAACCTGCTTGCCTGAAATTCAGCTTCATTTTATTTAATACTGATTGTTGAAGGAAAACCTGTGGAGTCAAAGTATTGCACATATGCAAAGGCCTTGGACTATTAATTCTCTGTATATGAGTATCTGAGTCCTCTGTGTAGGGGGACAACTCAGAAGATAATGCTATTTTTGTTTTAATTCTTTGAAACAAGGCGAATTTTGGTAGAAACAGAGCAGCATTATGCTTTTCATATGTGCAAAGAATTTCTGCTCTACTGACTGATTGAGTCAGGGCTGAATCTAAGGAGTGGCTGTTCTTATTGGCTATAACATAATCAGTTATATTTTGAGATTGGCCATATGGAACATCCATTCTATCACTCTCTATCTCCATTTTTCTTTTTTGCACTTCACTTGGCAGTGGCAGTTCTTGGGTTGGATAAGAAGATAAGGAATATCCCCCTTTGCCTAAAACATTGGAAAAACTGTACTGAAATAATCACTTTGCTGGTTCTTTTTCTTAACGTCACTGAAGTTTCTGAGCTTCATCTGAAATCTTTTGCCAGCTGCTAATCAAGCTTTCAGTCAATTTTCTTGGCTGATAATTGTCAGTTCTCTTCAGCCTGTCAAAAGTGGGGAGGTGTAGAATTAGCACCGTGACCCAGTTCACAAATAGAGGGTGTTCTTTTTATGGAGCAATTTGTAATTACTCCAGTAATTTGTGCTGATGGAATGCCAGATCCTTGGTGCTGCAAAGGGCTTTATCTTAAGATGACAGCACGTTGGGGTCCTGCCCAACAAAAAAAAATAAAAAAAAAAAAATTATTTATCCAGGCAAAAGGGTGACAGTGGGGGAAGTTAACCTGGAAATTCCTTTACCCCTGGAAGTGCTCCATGACAAACAGGGAGATGGAAAGCATGTTGTGGCATTCTGGGATCGAGTGACAGATTTGATCTGATTTTGTGATCACGTCTGCAAATTCACCACCGAGTCCTCCCTGCTCAGACCTGCAGCCTGGGCTGGCTCCTTAATGTAAATACAAGTGGAAATGCTTCCAGGCCAAGCCACACAAAACCCTCTCCCACAGTTCTTGCTTTAGCAAACAGAGCTTATTTAGAGTTATTTCCCACGTGGAGTTTTTGGTGACATCACCAGCACTCTCCAGACCAGGGAAAGGCTCCCACAAACCCAACATCACCACCCTAAACACCCTAAAGCTGCCCTAAAGCTGCTGCATCTTGGTATAAGATTCTAAAAAAAAAAAAAAAAAGAATTAAAATTACCTCTTTAGCAAAGGAAAGCATCCAAGGTTTTCTTTTCCCTTTGCCTTCCAGGCTGTTTTTTGAAAACGTAGTGTTTTTTCAATGCAGTCAGTGTTGTCACATAAGAAAAGTTATGTCTTAACTTTCATATACTTCTCGTAAGACTTTACAGCATGCTAAGAAAGCAGCATTTATCTTAAACTCAATAGCATCTACAGTAAATACTGAGTCATCCAAACCTAAAGGATTCTATTTCTGCAAATATTTTAGATTTATAGATGTTGAGGCTAGTTGTGTGGCAATTCTCTGCTCCTTGGAATGAAAATATATTCTTGGATATGACCAAAAATACTCAGAGGAATGAAAATAAAAATCTGTTTGACACAGAAATTAGAGCAAAAGGAGTGCTGCCTTTCTCATGCTTTGTGTGTGGGTGCAGTGGCAGGAAAAGGACTTGAATTGTATTTATCCATATAGACATCTAGTATTACTGTGGCAATTTGTTCAAGGGCTAAACCAACATTTTTAATGAAACTTGGCAATGTGCTTTGGATAATATTAAGCTTAGTGAAAGTAGCCATGAGAGCAGCAAGGAACTGAACTAGGATTTGTGGAACAAGGTCGCTAAATGGACTGTTTAATTATTTGCTGAAATAAAGATGTACTTTAGGATAAAGTAGAAATTTAGAATAATTAGTAGGTCAGCCAAGTGCCAAGAATGAGGTTTATCCAGCTCTCTAGCAGGTTGTTCTTAAGTTGGAGATATCCAGTGAAAGGAAATGCTTCTTTAGGCAGACAGATGTTGCTTTTAGTTAATAACAACTGACCTGTGGCTCTTAATTTACACATTTTGAAAATATGTAAACACAAGAAGTCGATCTTGCTTTTCAAAACACAATTGAGCCAGGAAGTGAAATGAAATTATTCTGATTCCAGTAAACTGTGATGGTCTTGGTGCAGCTGTAACTGTAACTTAAGATCTGGCAATTTCCTAAGGTGCAAGGCAGAGATAATATATAAGTCAAGTTAAGATGCAAATTCTTCTTTTCACAATTTGCATTTCATAATTGGAGGAGAAAAAAAAAATTAATAAGAGCATTCCCAATCCACAGTTAGAAGTTATGCTTATTGAGGCATTACCCAAATCTCTTTTGGGGGCTGCATATGGATGGCACTATTAGCTTGTGTGGAATATGCATTCAATATTGAGGCTTAGCTGTATAGCCTGTCAGCCTGAATCCTGTAAATAATTGGATGTTTCTATAATATTTTCACTTTAAAATTGTTGGAACCTACTTGAGAGCAGATAGTACCTACTGAGGATGGCAACATTTTTAATGTAATTTTTAAAATGAAGTCATTGATGAAAACATGCAGTCACAGACTACACTGGAACAGAGATGGAGTCTCTATAACTAAAATAAAAATAAATCAGGAAAAAGCTTCCATTTCTAGTGCAACTTACATCTTTCCACTTTGATTTATCTTTTTTTTTTTTTTAATGAGTTAAGAAAAACAAAACCTTTTTATTTCTGTCTTTCATTTTTTGTTGCTAAAGGATCTTTTATGGTCCTCATTCACACATGTGTTTCCTAGGAGAAAGGCTTTGCTGGATAAGGCTCAAAATTTTTATAAGTTATTCTGTGTATTTCAAAATATAATCCATTCCTGCTGCTCGAGGGTATTCATAATTTCTGTGCTATTTAATGCATGCCTACTGTTGAGTGGATGTACAATTACAGAAGTGGTTTGGGGAAAGGCATCTTAAATACAGGAAAAACATTATTATGGATGCAAATATGCTGGATTCTCCTGAGAATAAGACTAGAAAAATATTTTTTAAAAAAGTTCTTACAGAGGAAGTGTTCCATAATTCTGAGAAGCAAGTGTTAAGATATACTCTTAATCCAACTGACTGAGAAGTAACAGGTATTGTTTTTTATTCTTTTTTTATGAAATATTGCCTATTTCCACCAAGCACTGTGACTCTGACTTGCTAGTTGTTCTGCATACCAAAGATGTCAGTTTCATAAGTCCAGTTTAATACATTTGATGTCACTATTACTGCCTTTTTTTAAAAAATTGAAATTTGGCTTTTGGTGGCTTAATACCTCTTGCCTGAGTGATAAAATGCCTGTCAGAATCAGGCCTAAATTTAAATTGAAGGAAATAGATGCTCTCCCTTACCTCACTGTGTTTGGCTTTGCTGAAATTTTGAGATGCAGGCCAATTTGATGGGATCTTTTCCACCAGTAATTAATTTTTTTCTTTTTTTTACACATAAACCCTGTTTTTCAGACGGTTCTAAAAGGCTACAACATATTTTTTAGGCAATGTCATGAACACCCAAGCAAATCAGGCACACATATTTAGGTTTCTGAGTGTTTGAAGGTCCCAGGAGCTGCCAGGGGGAGCCTTGTGCCACCCTTGCTCCATCAGAGGCCAAACAGGGAATGTAATTTTAACTTTAAACACGATTGTTACGGTGCTCACACTCGCTGCTTGTTCCTGACTTCAGGGCCTGATTAAACTTAGTCATGTGTGTAATTGTGGGTAGAATGAGCTGCTGCATGGTTTTTACTTGTTAATGATAAATGTGGATTTTTTACATTTTTTACTCTTGGTCCGGTGTTCATGCTCTCCCCCATTTCTATACCTTCGAAAGGTTTTATTTGAGTCTTTGCAGGTATATGAAATTTATTTGGAAAGAAATCCTTTAGCATTGTGTCCCACACTGTAATAAGCTGGACTTGTCTTTCTTTTGATAAACTTCCACCCCCTTAGAAGCACTTGGAGCCTGTGGTGAGCCCAGGGCTCCCTGGGGATCTTCTCTCTGCATTTGTTTAATTCATTGCTTGCGGTTCACATTTTTGAAGCTGCAATCCAAGGCTTATTTAAAGTGTGGTTTGCCACCACCAGTGACTCAGGTAGGAGAAACCACAGCTCTGTCCTGGAATCTGGCATTCTCAGAGGGTGACACACCCGGCTTTGGGTTTTCTGCCTCACACAACAACTTCTTCTTCTCATAGGAGT